GTGCGTTGCCTTGGCGGGGCTGAAACCCGCTCGGTTCTCACCGCCGTGACCGTGGGCTGCGCGCGTTGCAGGGCCGACGTGACGGTCACCGACCTGGAGGAGCTGCAGGAGCTGCTGGCGGCCAACATCGAGAGCAACAGGCACCTGGTGACCGGGGCGGTGCGGGCCCAGGTACTGAAATGGTTGGTATCAGCCCGCGCTGCTGCTGCTCGGCACCCGCCGCCCCGCTGGGTGCCGCAGTGCCCACAGAGACTGGCGTCTCTTCCGTGGTTAAATTCTCAGAGACTCACGTCTCTTCCATGGTTGAATTCCCAGAGAAACTCGCGTCTCTCCCATGGTTAAATTCCCAAAGAGACTCGCGTCTCTTTCGTGATTGAATTCCCGAAGAAACTCAGGTCTCTTCCATGGTTGCATTCCCAGAGAGATTCGGGTCTCTTCCATGGTTAAATTCCCAAAGAGACTCACGTCTCTTCCATGGTTGAATTCCCAGAGACTTGGGTGTCTTCCATGATTGAATTCCTGAAGAGACTTGCATCTCTTCCATGCTTAAATTCCCAAAGAGTCTTGGGTCTCTTCCGTGGTTGAATTCCCAAAGAGACTTGGGTCTCTTCTGTGATTGAATTCCCAGAGACTTGCATCTCTTCCATGCTTAAATTCCCAAAGAGACTCAGGTCTATTCCATGATTAAATTCCCAAAGAAACTCAGGTCTCTTCCGTGGTCGAATTCCCGAAGAGACTCAGGTCTCTTCCATGGTTAAATTCGCAAAGAGACTCGGTTCTCTTCCGTGGTTGAATTCCCAAAAGAGACTCAGGTCTCTTCTGTGGTTAAATTCCCAAAGAAATTCGTGTCTCTTCCGTGGTTGAATTCCCAGATAGACTTGGGTCTCTCCTTAGTTGAATTGGCAGAGAGACTCAGCTCTCTTCCATGGTTAAATTCCCAGAGACTCGGGTCTCTTCCATGGTTAAATTCCCAGAGTCTTGGGTCTCTTCCGTGATTAAATTCCCAGAGTCTTGGGTCTCTTCCGTGATTAAATTCCCAGAGTCTTGGGTCTCTTCCGTGACCACTGCGCTTGAAGCGAGCCCGGTGTCACACCATAGTACTTTACTCTCAGTATTATGTGTTTTATTATTACTGAAACTTGTTTTCAACTTTTTTTTTTTGTTTTTTGCTTCTTTCTAGGGGTGAAGATGTGACAGAATTTCAGCCCCCCCCCGATTATATACTCATGGCTGATTGCATTTACTACGAAGAGGTGAGTGAGGACTTTGCAAAGCCCGTGTGGAAATCTTCCTTGGGAAGGGCACGGGTTTCAAGTGAGAAGTATTCAAGTCAATACTGCGCTTGCGTCTGGGTCCCCATAGTTTAGAGGAGTGTGTAGAACGAGACTGGGAAAGGTATTTTTAACAGGTTCGAGGCCATTGGAGATTCAGCCAGAGACTCTTAGGTTTAAAAAAACCCCACGTGCTATCGGGGGGGCACTTTTTTTACATTGGGAATGAAGTGTAAAGCCGATCGTTGTGACTGGTGTCACTGAGCTGCCCCACACGTTGGTGAGTGAGGTTGAACAGTGCCGTGTCCGCACTGCTTGGGTGCTCATCAGGCTTCCCTCGGCGAGGTAAAAGCAGCAGTCGTGCTCCAGCCAAGCGGTTGCTGGAGTCGGCCCCGTCTCCTGGGCTGGAGCTCTGTGGGCTGCACACGGAGAGCTAAGAGATGTTGCAAGAAACGGGGGACAACCTGAAGAACCCCCTGTCCCAGTGCCCTGTCCGTGGGCTTACCAGCCCCGTGCGCTGGCTCCCCGCGTGTTGGTCCTGCGTCCGGGTGTAGTGGTCTGGATCGGAGCCCCGTTCCCAGAACGGGTGGGAAAACGCTGGCTTTTGAAACACGTCAACAAATAGCTGTTCTTGGGTGCTTCGAGGGGTGCCCAGTCAGCGGTGTGGGATGTTTGGGCTTTGATGCCAGTTCGGTTTGCTTGGTCAGCCGGTGAAAATCCTCTCCTGTGCAGTCGCGCTTTCTCCTCTGCTTGCCAGCTTGCCCCCATGTTCTTTTCGTCCTAGATAAAGTGCTAAAAATAACTCCCTGAAAAGCAAAACTGGAAACTTCTCTCTTGGGTGAAGACTTTCTCTAGTTAGAGGGTATCGTACCAGTAAAATGAACTTGAAAAATCTAAGTGGGAAGTACTTAACCTCTTTTGGGCAGTCGTTAGAACCGCTGCTGAAGACACTGAAAGACCTGACTGGCCCCGATACGTGCGTCTTGTGCTGTTACGAACAGAGGACTGTGGGAAAGAATCCTGAAATTGAGAGAAAATACTTTGAGGTAAGTGTTTTTTAACGCCTGGTTTTTGAACACCGGGAGCGTAGCTTGGCGGTAAGAAGGACTCTGTGTTGGATCAGCTGAACGTCGACGGATTTGCTACACGCACAAACTCCGTTGACCGCACAAAGCAGAGTTCCTAGTAGGAGAAGCACTTTTCTCTTTAGATGGGGAAGAAAATGGGGATGGTAACTCTGGAAGTTACTGTCCAGCTTATCAGTAGAGACTTTCTGGACGCTTACTGACATTTCCTTCCCCCAAAAGGTCAAACTAAGCGTTCTTGCCTCACTAATCTCAGCTGTATTGATGCTTTCGATCCAGGCAGCCAGCCTTGCACGGGCTGTTGAAAGCCTCTCTGGCTTGTGCCACCTTCCAGATTCGCAAAAGGGCCACCCTGCGTGAAGCAGTGTCTGTGACAATCAAAACAGAGTCGTTTTTGTAGGAGCAAGTGAATTAGCGGCTGGTTGCCACCTTCTTTCTTTCTGCAGTGGTTGTCTTGGTGTAACCAGAGGTTATCAGGAGGATTAAAAATTAGTCTGGTGACAATTTGTTTTCCTTTATCATCTTCCATTGAAAGCAGAGGGAAAACAGAGGTAAAGTTTTCAGGAGTAGCTCAGGAACTCAAGGCTCTTTGCGAAGTGATACAGCTGCTTTTGCAAAAATTTCCCTCCTCTACTAAGAGAGCATTAGTAGGTGATGTAATTAAATAGTCCAGCTGGATCTTCTGTGCAGGTAAAGACAAGGAACACGGGTGTCAGCGAAATCCCTCCTGGGGCTGTGGGGTTGATGGTCCCTGCAGGATTGAACTCTGCACCCGTGAAGTCTGCTGAAAAGCAGCCCTTGTGCGGGAGTACCGGGTTATACGTAATGACGACACTGCCAAAAAGGGGAAGGGCAGGAATTCCAGGGCGATTTGTACGTGCTAATAAAAGCACCTCTGCGATAATTAGCCGTGCCTCGAACTCTTGTGGGGACCTGACCGTGAGGAGGGCTGCCGGGATGGAGATCAGCGCTGGTGAGGTGCCGCTCCTGCAAGAAACACAATAGGTGTAGGTGTTTCTGACCGATTCCTGCGTTCTTGTGATTTATTTCCTTCCTTAGCTTGCCAGGGTTCCGCCAAGTTACTCTGAGTACGTTGCAGAGTCGATGCTGGGGGTTTTTTAGCCTCTTTCCCCTCTCCCCGCCCCTCCAGCTGAGAAGGTTGGCAGAGGCAGACGCTGTGGTTTGGCTCAGCGCTGTGGAGACCGGAGGGAGCAAAATGTTTCATCGCCAGCTTTTAGATTTTTCTTAAACGTTGCGAGGTGCCTGTAGCTTTGAATGGGCGGTGGAGCCGTAAAAACGAGGGCAAACGAGGGGAAAAATGGCTGGGACATTTGTAGGGAGCTGTGGTGGAACGGCCCGAGCGTGGTGGGTCCAGCCTCCGCCGGCTGCGTGCCCTGGTGCCCGCCGTTCAGAGGGGCAGCCGGTGTCACCGGAGTTGTTCTGTGTGTTCTCCGCTACCCAGCTGCTCCAGGTGGACTTCGAGCTGGAAGAGATTCCCCTGGAGAAGCACGACGAGGAGTACCGCAGCGAGGACATTCGTATCGTGGCTATCCGCCGGAAGCCAGCGGTAGGTTAACGTTCACGGGCGCGGCGAACGCTGCCAGGAGTTGACGGAGCCGCTGTTTCCTTGGCATGGTGCGAGCGTTCCAGGGGCGAAGCTCTAAACTGGCTTTACGTCCTGTGTGCTCTGCGGTGCGGCCCCCTCCCCACAGCCGGTCTCCGGAGGTGGCACTCGGCGCCTGTCCGGGCTGGGTAGATGACTTTTTGGTTAATTGACGGAGCAGACGGTCACGCATGAAAAAAGTCTTTTGCATATTGTGCTGACACAAGACGTGGCTCCAGCGCTTGAACAGAAATGGGCCGCTTAAAAAATCCGTGCTTTGTTTTTTGTTTTTGCCTTTTTTTAAAAAAAAAAAATCTCTTCACAGAATTTTCCATCGTGGGATCTGTGCCCACAGCGCCTGCCCTCCGGCAGCTGGTAGAGCTCTGGGGCAGGGGCAGA